AGGTTGGAAAATGATGAATGAGGGATGATTAGGTTGCAAATGGAATTTGTGAGATTGAAGAGAGAAGATGCAATGGGCAATCAGAGAAAAGGTGTTGGATGGAATTTGGTGTGGAAGACAAAAGATTGAATCAGGAGAAATGTTGATAACAGAAGGTCCAATAGGTAGAGAAGAATGTGCAAGTTTCCAAAGCAGATCAGAAACGTTATTATTATGAGAATAGTTTTTATGGTGTATTTCTTGCCATGTAAGAGGAGGAAAGTTTGGAGAAGGAGAAAATGGTGTCAAAGGAGGTTGTGGAGAAGGAGTAAGGGTAGAATGAAGAGTAGGGAGTGAGGGAGAGTTTAAAATGGTGGGAGAGTTTAAAATGGTGGCAGGAGAGAATTGTTCAATATGTTTTGCTGCATTTAAGCAGGATCAGAGAGGTTCATAAGGAATGCGAGTTCCTCGTTGGTTGATGAGATTTGATCCAAAAAGGAGGGTCTAAGTTAAGGTCGAATGTGCATGAAATAAGTTTTGCATGCCTAATTTGGCATTCTTTTTATAAATGTGGCAGATTAAAACTAAACGCCTTGAAACCCACATATACCGTATTTCTCGGACTAAAGCCCCCTCTTAGCATAGTACCATCTCACCATTTTGAAGCTCATGGAATTATGCTTATTATATCACCATATATTCCTCTCTAAAATACCAAGAACGACGCTGTTTACATGTAATACGTGCCTTTCGAATCATTTTTAAAGCAAGCATGATGTTGCAAATTTTATTCGTGTTTCGTAGATGCAAAGTTTTTTTTGAGTATGTTACAACGCCAACGAATAAAATAGCCTTATCATAATCCCACCCCTAGTGTTTTTCTGGCTTTGAAGAAGTTCATATATAATTGGTGTTCGCGAATATAACCCTTCACAAAACGCTACTTGATTATTTTTAGTTGAATATCTATATTCATCAATCAAACTAGACTATTGTTTCTCAATATATCGCGTTTTGCTTTGCCCTCCTCAAGAAGAAGCCTGAAAAATCAGTCGACCTATTACTATATTACTTTGAAAAAACCAATTTATGTACAAAATAACCTTTACTGTAAATAACCCGTGTCTCTAATTGTATGTTTATTTAATTAAGAATTATCGTATCTGTAATAAAGTTTTAGAGTATGAAAGCTGGTCAACTATTGCAGGGAGCAAATTGCAATCTGATCAGTTACCAAATACAATCACAGGGGTTGTCATATGCAAAATAGCACGCGTGCGAGGGTTTTACACATAGAAATATCTTAATTGTTACAAAGCTCATAATTGTTCTGAAAATGTTTGGCAGAAAAGTGATAGTTAATGACGAGTTAGCAATGCTGAACGCACGCTTAATGCAGTGGTGTTTACTAAACATGCAAGCCACACATGCGTTCGAATGTAGGAAAGAGCCTTCCGAAGTAAGTAGAATTTGTCGTCGACATGCGTAGGACGTTAACTCACCTTGTTTGGGCAAGGCACGACTGTGGGCTGCTTGGGAGTTGCTCAGTCATACGCGCCAAGAACTATTGAGAACGCAACGACGGTTCAATCTTGAACGAGAAATCACAGCACTGCAACAACTCTTGAATCTGCAGGTTGGCAAAAAGTTTGATATTACTTTACGTTCCCAAGGCTGATTGCTAAATGTACGCTCATTGTTTTACTGAGAAAATAGAGGGATATACTTGTAGAAGTGGTTAGAAGCTTGGAAAATTTCAAAGGAAGGTACACTTCTTTCGCTTCCTCTCTAGCATGCACTACGGCGGCTATGCCCATTACTGATATTCAGACTGGAGATCTAGGTTTGTGCATCATGTCTGAGCAATTTACTCCCAGAGCTTTAATCTCAAACTGCTTTACCATAATTACTCTTTACTCTTTATTAGATAAATTGTCTGATTGTGTTAATGAATGCTCTTTCATGATATCAGAAATTCTTGAAAATTATCAAGTGGAACTGCCTTCGGTATAAACTGATCGTTTCGTATTTGAGGCGTATATATGTCTTATACTAAGCTGTGTTTCTTATTACAGATGGACGAGGTTGCCTGCTCGTTGCGAGATATATGTGCCAACATGAAAGAAGAGGCTGAAGAAATCAACGAATGCAATGCTTTGCTACGGGCAATTGTTAACGCAGAGACAATGGAGCGTAGTCTAAGAATTCAGAAAATAGAGGCTGTTGCCAAGGATTACCAACCAGCACGGCTGGAATAAGTTTATATAGAATAATTAGAAAAAAAGTGAATTTAACAACAAAAACCTATAGAATTATGCTTTGTGTAAATAAATCGAGCATGGTATAGTCATGTGACCTAAAGATCAACCTTTTTTTCGTTGACACAGTTATAGTTAATTCACCTTGTTGGCAGATATGTTTGTGGGATACCAATTGACGTGTCAATTCAGAAGCTCTATCACATTGCCTCTTCGCAAAGTATGCATCAATTTAACATCTAAATATGCGGCACCACGATCGAATTCACGTCACGCGAGCAAACTTGCTTTTCACACTCGGCGATACATTTACACACAGAAGCAACATTGGCCGCTAAAATTAAACAATCGGATGCAAGAGTATGAGTATTGTCGCCGTTTTCTGATCACACAAGTAGAAGATTCAGCCGTATTACCTCAGAACATGGAATGGCGGACACTATCGTTTTACCGTTTCAAATCGATCCCAGAGAAAGATTTATCACAATTACGCGAAAAGATGCTATCTGATTTCGGAAACATGAACATTGTTGGTCGCATCTACATAGCAACCGAAGGCGTAAATGCACAAATGAGCTGCCCAAAAGAGAACATTGGCTGGCTAAGGGAATATTGCGATAACATACTAGACTTGGGAAACGTAGATTTCAATTTTGCGACAGAACATGCAAAAGCGTTTGGTGCCTTGCATGTAAGAATAAGGAAACAGATTGTCGCCGATGGTCTCGAATCAGGATCATATGACATCACAAAACAGCCAAACCATCTAACTCCAGAAGAATGGCATCAAGCGTTATCATCTAAACCACAACTTGTCATTGACATGCGCAATCATTACGAAAGGTAAATAAAACCGTCAAATCAATCTAGTTACCTTGTAGAAAGTGAGTTGGTGCCTCATCGTAAAAAAGAGTTATTCGAAATTATAATGTTCCATGTCTTTTTCTCCTGTCTCCCTCCCATGGAAAAAAAGTAATCATTCATCCGATTAATCTATGAACCAGTGAAATTGGATATTTTGAGGGTGCAATATGTCCGGATGTTGACACATTTCGTGAGAGCGTCAAAGTAATGGAAGAAGTATGCGAGGGAAAACAAGACCAAGAAGTATACATGTATTGTACTGGTAAGACCTTTTCGCAACTGCAACTTGCATTAATTTATTCGAGCTCACATATTTATCAATGATCAGGTGGTATACGCTGCTCAAAAGCAGGCGCAATGCTGCTTTCCGCTGGTTTCAAATCCGTCAATGTTCTCAAAGGAGGTATAACTGCCTATGGCCGGTATATAACAGAAAACCCATCAATCGACTCGCTGTACAAGGGCCGCAATTTCACATTCGACCGTCGCCTCGGGGAACGAATCACCAATGACATTATCTCGCAATGCCACACATGTGGCAAGTCATGCAACACACACACCAACTGCCGCAACTCTGTCTGTAACCTCTTGTTCATACAGTGTGAAGATTGCCGAATACGATTAAAAGAAACATGTGGACATCAGGCATGTTTGAGAATAGTGGAAAACATGGCGAAAGGGTCCGAGGACAATAATACAATAGTAAAACCAGGGGTTGAACCATGGTATGAACATGGAATTAGGACTAGACCAAAGGCAGTCTTGGAGAGATATGGTGGAAGAGCTAGACGCGTATCGCAAAGGGAAATTAACCGGATTATGCTTGGCAAATCGAACAAGTCTTTGTTGCCGAAATTGAGTTGGGGATTACTTGATTTTTTCTTATCGATTTTTCGCACAAAGCAAGCTTGATATGTATAGCCGGTTTTTAAGATGCCCTTTTGACGTATAGAGAGTCTCTTGAATACAAAAAGCATTATACTATTATGATCTCAATGAACCCATTTTCAATGAACCCATTTCAATGAACCCATTTCAATGAACCCATTCTTTGAGTCGCATTCTGCTGCTCTATATGTTTTTAGTAAATTATCCAATTATACAATGAATTCCACTACCAGAACGATTAAAAAAAAAAGCTTTAATCCTCGAGAAAGATAGTAAGACCATTGTCTGTAACATTCTGCACCAAAATTCTCGTGCCACAAACTAGTGTCGTGCTTGTCGTCGTGCTTGTCGTGCTCTCTCTCCAATCCATATTTAGTAAATGCAACCGAGTTAAATAATGTCGACACAGTTCAGTAACCATTCTTGATTACACGTGACACAATTGATGTGCCGCTGCTTCAAGTGCCAAAGTCCGGCAAGTTAATACCACTCATATATTCGAACGCGCGTCTCGATTTATACAAATTCATGGATAAGACTCAGAAATATGATCGCCAGCTTCGGTAATAATTGTTATTCTCGTGCTTTCAGTTCCCAAGCTACCGGCCGATTCAATATATAGTAACAATGTTTCTTCATGTGTTGAAGCCTCTGGGCAGCCACCGGACAAGCTGCTCTCGAATCTTCAAACGTATGTCTTGTAAACGGAAATGCCACGGGTTGTGAAGTACTGAAAAATTTAATATTACCTGGCAAGTTTATAATACTAGTCTTTATTATACCTGACGAGAGAAAACTCGTCCTTAACGAGTGCGAATTGCTTTGCTTTCCTTTAAAGGTATCGGGTTTTTCACGGTAGTTGATGGGCGACTAGTAACCGGCGCAGATATTGGAAATAATTTCTTCCTAACTCTTGAGGCTCTCGGTCAACCGCGAGCAGCTAAAGTGACAGAGTATCTTCAAGAATTGAACGAAGATGTTAAAGGCTCTTTTTTGGTTGAGGTATTTTCAACAACAGTGATTGTTTCTTTCTTTGTACTTGCAAATGTCTCTCTAAGCAAGGAACACCAACCAATCATTTTGGTCCGGGCCTCCATTTTTAATAATATTAGGATCCGATAAATCTCATCGAGACATCTCCAGATTATTTTTTGCAATTCTCGCTCGTGATTGCCACCGAACTTCCAGAAAAACCGCTTCTTAGATTGGCCGAAATTCTTTGGGATTCGGCGGTTCCGCTCGTTGTTGTCAGGTCAACAGGATTTATTGGGTATTTCCGCATCCTAAAGCCAGAACATACGAGTAAGTATGACCGAAGAAATCTATTTGCTGTCGTTGGGTGCAGTTTATTAACGATTTTTTTTTTTGCGCGCAAGTCGTTGAGACGCATCCCGAGAATATCGTTGATTTACGCTTGGATAAACCTATTCCCGGATTAGAGGCGTACGCGCAAACTTTTGATTTTGAAGGAATGGATAACATGGACCATGGACATATACCATACGTTGTGATTCTTATCAAGTATTTGAATCAATGGAAGAAGGAAGTATGTACTGTATACTTTTCGACATTTAAAGTATTTTTTCGTTCTGCTTACTATTATTGCTATCCGTAAATACAAAGCACAATGGTGAATTACCCAAAGGAACGCAGGAAAGAAACTTATTCAAAGAAGCAATCCTCAGTGGAAAACGCAATTCCGACGAGGAAAATTTCGACGAAGCCATTGCTAGTATTTGGAAAGCATGTACCCCGACCCAGGTGCCTTCTAAGGTACAAGTTATACTCAATGACCTTCTTTGCGATAACATAACTGTCGAGGTAATGAATATTGGCAATTGTATTATATATATTTAATATTTCATGGTAAAATTTTTTATCCAGTTGAATGGGTAATTGATGACTGTTTAATCTACAAAAGTCATCCAACTTTTGGATCATCGCGCGGGCTGTTCGTGAATTCGTAGCAAACGAAGGTCTTGGCTTATTGCCACTTTCGGGGAGATTGCCAGATATGAAAGCATATACACAGTCTTATGTTGATTTGCAAAACATGTAAGTTTTTTGATAGAATGACCATTTGACAAAATTATTACGATTTTTTTTTACTCCTCCCTTCTCATTAAACTGCATCATCATTTCCACGTCTCATGCAGTTACCGTCAAAAGGCACGTCAAGACGTTGCTGCAGTGCAGGCTCGGGTTGACAAAATATTATCTTCATTGGGACGTTCTTCTGATTCAATTTCCCATGAAGAAATCGAGAGTTTCTGCAAAAACGCTGCATTTATTGAAGTGATTCGGTATCGATCATTACAAGAAGAATATATAAATGATCCGAAGAAAGAAGACATCAGTAATTCACTAGGCTTTCTAATGCTGTATATCAATTGGTATTCCCTGCATGTTTTAACAATCGTTATATTGTACAGGTAGGTGGATACGCGACTCCGAGGATTCTATCGCCTATTATGTCTTATTCAGAGCAATCGATCGTTTCTATGAAACGTTTCAACGATACCCAGGTATGAATTTATCCTTGATGCAAGGTATACGTTAGTCTCTTTTTTTTTTTAATAAATCTCTGGCTGTTTTAGACGGAGCTACATTGCCGGATGCCGGTGACGATGCCGGTGACGGTAATGACGACGAGCAATCAGTCTTTGTTTACGAATTCAATCCTCTGAGAAAGATAGTAACATCCCTGCTTGAAGAATGGGGTATCGACGATAGTGGACTTGATATCGATGATTACGTTCATGAAGTGTATGAAGCCCAACCTCCTATTGAGCTATTTTCTGTACGTGTCGTAAATGTTGTTAACAGTTGTTTCTTTATTTATAGTTGTAGATCGGGTGGATCGGAACTTCCAAATATGGCAGCACTGTTAGGTGGACTAGTGTCTCAAGAGATAATCAAGCTGATTACTCACCAATACATTCCATTGAACAATTCTTGCATATTTGATGGAATCAAAGCTTCCTCGAGAACATATGTTCTCTGATAGTTTTTATGGACCGGTTACGCTGCTACACTGCTACTATTACCATTAGATTACGTAAGTGAACGACTGTTTACATAACCTCTGCTAAATAAAGTAATTTATAAATGACGGATATATATTATCGATCAGTATGCAATAAGAATCACGAATGATAAAGTACAACGCAACAATGCAAACAAAGACAGATATAGTAAGCCATTGCCATTGAAATGTTAATATTAATCTTTCATTAAAAGTATCCGAGTCTATGCCTTTGCATCCTAAAGCTCCAGGAATTTTATATTCTCTTTAGCACTGCGTATCCTGCTCACAACAAACGTCTCATAACCATGGTAATATAATTGTCGCAGCCAGTAAATTACGAAACAATAATAACAATACTTGCATTGCACTTTCTTTTAGGAATTCTATCGTTTGACCCTTTTGACGAATTTAAGCTATTGGTAAATAAATGTGTTACCAGAAATCCGGTTTATAGATGCCAAAAATAGCTAATAGCTGGTGGAACATTTAAATATACCTAATTAGTCGCATGCTCAAAGAACGAAACTCAAGCATGTATTATTGAACGGCGAAATAAAATGTGAGATTTATTAAATCGATGCTTTCACCATTTTATTTGCTGTTAATAATTATTTTAATTTAGCGTGACTTTCTTACGATAAAAAAACAGGCTATAGATCAGACGCGTTACAGCATGTAACTGGTGAACTGTAAGATGTCAGTGGGCTAATTCTCAGTGTCGTATATCAGTGTTCTCATGTATGCTGGCACGACACCCCAACATTTGCCATCTTAGAACCCGTCCTAGTCGTAAGCTGATCAGGGATATCAACAAAGGTAAACCAAACAAGTTGCTGATTCGAATACAAAAAACTAATAGCGCAAACTCTTTTTTGCTCCATTACTGTTCACCCCTAAAATATAATACAATTTAAGGTTTCGGATATTTAATTTCAGAGATCAGCCGTGCGACTCAAACTACTGGGGGGTCTTTGCTCATACCCTTTTAGGAGCGCCACAATGAAAGAACCTATAATATTTGACGAAACATGGAAGTTCTTTTAATTAATATTACTTGCCTCATCTGGCCCATTATCTCACCGAATCTAGTGTCTTCTTTCATTATTAATATTGAGTTCAATTTGTTAGGAAGCGAAACACAGGAATTGACAAGGGTTTACAAATGCCTGTTAGTTTAATCTGAAACAATAAACTTCTGTGGCGGATTAAAGTTACGTCGAATAATATTAATACGAAAACGCAATGTTTAATTGTTGTTCAGAAGCTGAATTGGTTAGTTACAATCGTAATAGACTTTCTTTCTTCACCTACGTTTCAGGTTACTTTTTTGTACTAGTATGGATTTGTGACCACCGTGAGATTAATTTGTTACATGAATTGGGAAATACACAAGTATTTATAGAATTTGACAATTGAATCACTGCAATATACTATTATTATACCACCATTGCCTATAAATATGTGGCGACCATGCAACTATCGAAAAAGTGAGCTCTCAAACCCATCCTTGGTTGGAAAATTCCGACACATCCACCCTCCCCTCACCTCCCTTCCCCCACACTCTCTTGATTGATTCAAGATCCCACCATGAGGAACTTTATCTTGCTCCCTGTTCTTACTGTTGCGATCTTAATTAACTTTTCTTCCGCCACACAACACCTAACATCGAGAAGTGAAATTCCCGGCGAATCTCGTCTCTTTACACCGACTAGAATATTGACCTCAAACAACACGGGTAACTTGGTTTGCCCAACTGGAACTTTCGAATGTAAAGACAAGGCTGGTGGATGTTGTCCCAATGGTTCGTCATGTCTGCCGAACTTTAAATGCAGTGCTCCCACTAGCACTGCTGGAGGAAATAGTGGATCAGGCAATACTGGAACCGGTAGTAGCACCTGTCCCGCTGACACGTTTAAATGTCAAGATAGCGAAGGCGGATGCTGTCCGGATGGCACAACTTGTATACCCAACTTTAAGTGCAGTGCGCCCAATAGTGTTCCTGGAGGAGGTGCTGGTACTACAGGAAACGTTCCTAATGGTAATCCTAGTGTTGGTGATGGAAAGGGGAATGACACTTGTCCCGCTGACACGTTTAAATGTCAAGATAGCGAAGGCGGATGTTGTCCGGATGGCACAACTTGTCTACCCAACTTTAAGTGCAGTGCGCCCAATAGTGTTCCTGGAGGAGGTGCTGGTACTACAGGCAACGTTCCTAATGGTAATCCTAGTGTTGGTGATGGAAAGGGGAATGACACCTGTCCCGCTGGAACGGTTAAATGTCAGGATAGCGAAGGCGGATGTTGTCCGAATGGCACAACTTGTCTACCCAACTTTAAATGCAGTGCGCCCAATAGTGTTTCTGGAGGAGGTGCTGGTGTCAATGGAGGGAATAGTACGGGAGGAGATGCTACGACTGGATCAGGCGGTGCTGGAACCGGCAGTGTCACTTGCCCAGTAGGATCGTTCCAATGTCAAGATAGTGCTGGCGGATGCTGTCCTAATGGCACGTCATGTCTACCCAACTTCACATGTGGTAATCCAAACAATGTGGTAAACACAACCCCAGGAAGCGATAATACAGGAAGCGATGCTACAGATAGTACAACAACTACGGGAAGCGAGAACACAGATGCTACGCCTTCAGTAAGTGACAGTACCACACCCACTGTCGATAATTCTAAGGGAACAAAGAGCGACGACAATAGCAGCGGCAGCAGCGGCGGTGGCGGCGGCGGCGGATCGAGTAGTAGTGGCAAGATACAGACACGATTATCTGATCTGTTTCTGACGATAATACCAGTTATACTAGTTCATTTGTATGTTTGATTCTATTAGTATAACTTTCATTGTATTCAGTACATTACATAGAACGTTTTTACGGATGATGGGTCCACTTTGAACATTTCAGTCGTGTATACACTTTTTGCAAATATTAGAGCTGTATAGAAATAAATTCGGTAATTAATCAGTAAAAAAAGTCGCATATCGAATGTCGAATGTCGAATGGTAACATATCTTAGCGATTGTCTAAAGACTGTCCTGAAATCGAGTCAAAATAAGCAATATCATGTTAACATGGATTCAGTGTTAGCAATCTACATCTAGTTTATTACTACAAAGCCCGACTTTCACAAGATCTATCACCACTGCTAGTATGTCCACCTTCCTCATGTCCTATCTTGCTAAAAAGTGAAGCTGATAGGAGACAACGACATCATGGTACAGCATTGAATCTTGCTCTCAAAACAAAGAACTCGATAGCATTGACTATGTTCTTAATAACATAAACAAATCCTTTTTATGGAAACTCGTTACAATGTTTTGAGATCCAATAGGTTGGAGTCATTTTTATCTTTCAAAGCCAGTAAACAAAGTACGGAATGTACAGTAATCTTATTTAGGAAGGGGAGTCGATTATTAGTAGCAACATTTCCTTTTCGGGATTAATACAAAGGAATATGTGCAACGAAGTATACAGTCGAACCTAACTATTCTTTCATAGTGCAATGATTTATGACTAGAACAAATGTTAGTATTAGTGCTGTATGTTGACGTAATCTTCCTGTAAGAAGATGGGGTATCAAACTTTTTAAATTATTTATCTACCGTATATCCGAAAACAACCGGGTCAAGTAATAACTTCTCTACCAGTTATCCGAAACCAATAACTCCTCTACCAGATATCCGAAAACAACCAGGTCAAACAAGGGTTCTTCCCCGTACCACAGTAACGCCAATCGAAGGTGGAAGGTTTATTGTTAAAACAGAAACTTTGCATGTCTTTCTGATGGAGGCGCTTCAGACGTGTCCCCATATATATCGAAACCCAGTGTCAAATAATGAAACGATAGAAGATATATAAGTAGTTGTAGTTTTCCGCTCTAAACAGCATCTTCAGAATCATTCGGTTCACATTTTCAGTTCTTATAATTGTTTGTCCTAATAAACGAATATTATGCGTAATTTATTGGTTAGCTTCCTGATTTTTATTCCCTTAGATCGCTGGTTAAGTGATAAAATCGCTTTCTCGATCATCGGCTAATAAGTTTGATCTTGCCCAACTTACGAAACAATAATTATTATTATTATTTTACCTTTCACATTTCAAAAAGTATTGTACTTTCTTTTAGGAATTCTATCTTTTGACGAATTTAAGCTATTGGTAAATAAATGTGTAGATGCCATGAATAGCTAATAGTTGGTGGAACATTTAAATAAACCTAATTAGTTGCATGCTCAAAGAACGAAACTCAAGCAATTATTTTACCTTTCACATTTCAAAAAGTATTGCACTTTCTTTCAAGAATTTTATGTTTTGACGAATTTAAGTGCTCTCACCATTTTATTTGCTGTTAATAATTGTTTTAATTTAGCGTGACCTTACGATAAAAAAAAAAGGAATATTACACGTGCTATAGATCACAGTTACAGCATGTAAATAAAGTGAGACTAATATGTCGGGGCTAATTCTCAGTGTCGTATCAATGTTCTCATGTATGCTGGCACGACACCCAACATTTGCTATCTTAGAACCCGTCTTAGTCGTAAGCTGATCGGGGATATCAACAAAGGTAAACAAGTTGCTGATTCGAATACAAAAAACTAATAGCGCAAACTCTCCATTACTGTTGTATATAATTCAGTAATTATCAAAACTAATAATTTAAGGTTTTGTACGCTCTGAATATTATTTCAGAGATCAGCCGTCATACCCTTTTAGGAAAGGCACCACAATAAAAGAACCTATAATATTTGACGAAACATGGTTTAATATTACTTGCCTCACTAGCCCATTATTTCGCTGAAGAAGCAAAAACACAGGAAAGTTCTGTTGGAAGACACGCCTGTTAGTTTAATCTGAAGCAGTTACGTCAAATGCAATGTTAATAATACCTATTATTATGAAAACGCAACGTTTAATGTTGTTCAGAAGCTGAATTGGTTAATTACCATAGACTTTCTTTCTTCATTTACATACTTGTGAAATTAATTTGTTATATGAACTGGGAAATACAACACAAGTATTTATAGAATTCAACGATTGAATCACTGCAATATATTATTATACCACCATTGCCTATAAATATTGCGACCGTGCAAGTATTGAAAAAGTGAGCTCTCAAATCCATCCTTGGTTGGAAAAACTCATTCGAAAATTCCGAGACACATCCATCCTCCCCTCACCTCCCCTCACCTCCCTTCCCTTGATTGATTCAAGATCCCACCATGAGGAACTTTATCTTGCTCCTTATTCTTACTGTTGCGATCTTAATTAGCTTTTCTTCCGCCACACAACACCTAACATCGAGAAAAAGTGAAATTCCCGGCGAGTCTCGTCTCTTTACACTGACCTCAAACAACACGGGTAAGTTGGTTTGCCCAACTGGAACTTTCAAATGTAAAGACAAGGCTGGTAGATGTTGTCCAGATGGTACCGAGTGTCTACCCTATGCCAAATGTGGGGGAAAAGGCAATGATACTGGTGGAAATACTGGTGGGAATAAACCCGGTAATCCGGTAAATAACAATGTGGTAAACACAACCCCAGGAAGCGATAATACAGATGCTACGCCTTCAGGAAGTGACGGTACCACACCCACTGTCGATAATGCCAAGGGGACAACGAAGGGCGGCGACGAACCCATCAGCGGCGGCAAAGGCGGCAACGAACCCACCAGCGGCGGTAAAGGCGGCAAAGGCGAAGGCGGGGGCGGGGGCGGGGGCGGCGACGGACTGAGTAGTGGCGGCAAGATACAGACACGATTATCTGATCTGTTTCTGACGATAATCCCAGTTATACTAGTTCATTTGTATGTTTGATTCTATTAGTATAAATTGTATTCAGTACATTACATAAAACGTTTACGGGATCCACTTTGAACCAATAAAAAAAGTCGCATATCGAATGTCGAATGAACATATCTTAACGATTGTCTAAAGACTGTCCTGAAATCGAGTCAAAATAAGCAATATCATATTAACATGGAATCAATGTTAGTAATCTACATTTAGTTTACTACTATAAAGCCCGATCTATCACCACTGCTAGTATGTCCACCTTCCTCATGTCCTATCTTGCTAAAAATGAAGCCAACGACATCATGGTACAGCATTGAGTTTTTGAGGTCCTTATTAGGCACAATGGTACAGCATTGAATCTTGCTCTTAAAACAAAGAACTCGATAGCATTGACTATGTTCTTTTATTCCTTCATGAACAAATCCTTTTATGGAAACTCGTTAGAACGGCTTTGCAATGTTTTGAGATCCAATAGGTTGGAGGCCATTTTTATCTTTCAAAGCCGGTAAACAAGATACGGAATGTACAGCACTCTTATTTAGAAGGTGGAGTCGATTATTAGTAGCAAATTCCTTTTTCGGGATTAATACAAAAGAATATGTGCAACAAAGTATACAGTTGAACCTAAATATTCTTCATAATAGTATAATGAATGAATCTGATCTATGTATGACTAGAACAAATGTTAGTGCTGTATGTTGACGTAATCTTCTTGTAAGAAGATGGGGTATCAAACCCTGTCAAAAAATCTCGGTCAAGCAGTAACTTCTCTACCAGTTATCCGAAATCAATAACTCCTCTACCAGATATCCGAAAACAACCAGGGTTCTTCCCCGTACCACAGTAACGCCAATCGAAGGTGGAATGATAAGAGATATGTAAGCAGTTGTAGTTTTCCGCTCTGAACAACATCACATTTTCAGTTCTTATAATTGTCCTTTAGAATAGTTCTCTATATTCTAATAAACAAAATATTGAAATATACGCGTAATTTATTGGTTAGCTTCCTGATTTTTATTCCCTGGTTAAGTGATAAATCGTTTTCTCGATCAGCGGTTAATAAGTTTGATCTTGCCCATCGAACTTATGGAAACTTATGCATCAGAATTTCTATTTAATTGCATGTTTAGCGCGCGCGTTACTATTATAAGCTTCCCGTCGATAGATTTCGTTAATAATCCCTAGCGAATTATAATCGTTGTTTGACTCGGAGGTTAAATAGAATCCAGAGAAGGCGTATACAGATAGTCGGATAATAATCCGTGAGCATTGATAAATCTTATTTAAGTCACTAATTGGATGGATGTTTAGCGATAGTAGAAACGAGCCTAAGAGTTCCACCGGAAGACGACTAAATCTTAAGATTGTTCTCCCACGTGTGGCGATCCGACATGGGCAATATCAACATTTTCTACATTATGTTCGAACAAATCCGAGTCTTTGTTATAAAAATGTATAAGACAGACGAGTTTATGTATAGGGCATGCCGCAACACAAAGTGAACATGATGCCACGGGAATTTTCAAACTGCTGGGCGCCACAGACTTGCTGCATTTTCTTTCTCAAAGTTAATTAATCAAGCTGACTATGACTGAAGTTATTGTATACTTCCTATTTGTACATTCCGCCGTAAGCGGAAAAATTAGATTAACAAAATACCAGTAACAGTGACAATAATAATATTTGTCCAAGTAGATTTTGGATTTCTGCATCAATTTAATCTAGAGAGACAGCAAAAATCTGTAGAATAGTTTTAAGCAAAGTATGAGATATTTCCCAGCTTTAAATGAGTTTTATCATTGAACTATTGTAATGTTTTTAATTTTTAAAATCCTTTAGACTTTGTTATTAAATTTGTGACTTTTTTGATCATGTACTTCTCCTCCCTAACCCCGAGAAAAAATTTGACTGTGGATTCTTTCTTTCTAGTTTCTCGACAATATTCAAGTTATTATTGTTAGATTAAACAAACCCGTATGAAATAAAAAGCAGATGGTGTCGTCAATTAAACTTGGACTTTCTCGAATAATTGATTTGATATTACGAGGAATTTGGAATAACTCTTCCTCGTCGGCAGGAACATAACTAGATACTCTATATAACAAAGTAGGCCTAAGGTCAAGCGATATTTGTTATAAGACATTATTGAATAGCATATTTACAATAATTAATACATAAATATAGTAAAAGAGTTGACTAATTAGTACCAAATGAATCTATTCGACTTTGTTTTGCTTTGCGATACTATGCAATTTTCAGTTGTTTCAAGTGCGGACTACCGCATAACGGGTAGGAGATTTCATTCTAATTTTTGATTACGTGGAAGACTTCGGGCATAACCTGTGTATTAAAAGTTGTACCCCAAATTTAGGTTTCGTTTTTAATATATCCACAGTAAAGTCACGTTTCACCGATACCCTGAGGTTTATCAGTTGCGTTATTAGCTAATTATGACTACAATATATTCTAATTGATCTATATGTCAGACGTATAAGCATTGTTCATCTTTGATATTCCAAGTCTCTTTATCCTCTTTCTATGAACATTAGAGTCATAGCTTTTTTGCAAACCATTCCAAGACAGTATCTTTACATTATTAAACTGTTGGGAAAAAACTAGGTGTTTGACAATAGCAAAGTAGACGATGTCACATCTCGACAAGAAGTGTTTCTTTAATTTCCCTACAGAAAAGAGGACGGTGAGGAAAATGACTCGTCATGTCTTCCCGCCGTTTGACTGAGATGCTGTAACTGCACTTGAAACAGCATTCATTTCTTCAACAAGGTAATATAAAGATAGACTATTAACGAGCTGAAAGTCTTTCGTTCATTGAAAAGGGAGGTGGAGTTACAAGCCAAAAACAAGTTTGAATAGATTTATTTTTAGTAATTAGTTTGACTATTTTTCTTCCCACACATCAGTGTGTTTATTTTCTGTTTACTAAAACACTATTTATGAAAGTTTCAGTATGCTGAATATTACTTGATTTTAGGTAACTTCGTTGCAAAGGGGGTCGTTTCTCACTATAACGAATCATAGACGTCTCCCTGGCGGCTTCGGATTGACTGTGATACAGTATAGTAAATGCTGTTCAGAACAAACGAATAAAGCGGGTTTATAGATGAAATAGATTCAAGACTGTGTATATTATAAATGACATACTCCTCCATGCAAACATTTCCGAAAGCCGAGCGTTAAATAACACAAGCGCACAAGCTGCGCAATTCATGCTACCCCGCAGCAGTGACAAGTAATAAACCAAATCAGGACAAAAATTCTTGATTAATTTATTCCACGTTTATCGAAAATTATGCCAGTAGTGGTGAAGTAGTTTAGTGAGCCGACAGGCAGTTATACAAGCAGCTGTTGTATGTCAGATAGGAATCCTTGGACACGCTAATACTATGGTATTTACCTAACTGAACAAGAGGCACATCCATTGATGAGTCATATTATATATTATTAAAGGGTGTTCCGTATTCCAATAATGCCTGATCTATTAGAATTAGTTTCTCGAATACAGTCATAGATCATTTTCTCTACGCAATTTGTTGCAGCTGCTGTACTTTCAAATTGCATACAATGTGTCACGAAAAAAAATGGCGAAAAAATAGAAGCTCTTCGAACGCGTGTATTTTTGGCAATACATTATTTGTTTTACCTTCTTTTTTTTTTATATATATTTTAATGTAAACCTTACGGTTGTTTTTTAAACTGTCAAACAAGTTCAAATCTTTGTTTGATCAACCCTAACTTTTTGCTGTCAGATTCGATTACAAATATCTCGATCAAACTTGAATACACATTGCAAGACCATTAGTGGCCTATCAATAGTCCAGTCTTAATCTTATAAAAAATTTATGGCAATTGGCCAAAACGATGTGAAAAAGTATGCTCAAACATTGTAGGAGTTTTTATAGTCGGGGATGAAATTCTATTTCTGATAATACATCTAGAGTGCTATGCGATCTGCTGTCGGCCATCCAGATTTATTCGAAATGCTGGGTATCGGTGAAAACACGACTTTACAAAACCGAAATTTGCAAAAATTGGATTTTAGTGCAACAGTGGTTTAAGGTTATATTATTAGAATATGCCATAATAAAGAAAATCAACTCTCGCTTTTGAAATGCCGTTAATGTTGATTCTTCTTTAACGACATTAACAATAAAATTTTAAACTATTTCCAAAGTAAATGTCAATTGTTTATTGATGTTTGAATTGTTAACAGCAGAAAGTATGAATTTCTCATTAAATGGTTTGCTAGTTCGCTATGCTTTGCTTTTGGATATGGTTTAACATATTGTAGAGGAGGTCGACTGTACTTATCAGACGCCACTGATTAATAATAGGGAAATAAAAAACCGTAATCCTAATCCGTTCTATATACGAACACATCACGAGTTGAGTGGCATCAACGCCACTTTGTATAATATTGCTTCCCAATCTATAAATGTTATAACAAGCTTCATTAACGCCGTCCCATAACAGTCTACTGTGCTGATCTTCAATATATGTATTTATCAAACACTGATTAATAGTAAAAGACATAGCATGAAATCAAAGTTCAAAATAACTAAATTTGGTAGCTCATGCATTTTCTTGCGTGCTGTATTAACAATAGCTCATCCAACTACGAGCAGACTGTACCAGATCTGTGCCGCTGCCCAAAAGAATGCAATTCAATTGTTTGTGAATTAATACTTTACTGCCACGTCATGTATTTTTCTTTTGCTGCAACACTGACAATCCGTGAGTATTTAAAAGGCGAACCCAAATCATACTATGCCAAAATTATAATTAATAATTAACGCTGCCACTTTGTATTCAGTCAATTATTCATAAGTTAATGAAATAATGAGCGATGCCTGAAAAATTACGTTGAACATGAAATTCATAAAAGGTAATTATTATAGAGCAAATAATTATCGGCGTGTTACGCGCTTGAAAACTGTTGAGTGTCATATCACCCTGAAACATGGACATCCAATATGTGACTTCTCGCGGTTAGAAAATATCTAACCAAATATGTAGTAAAACCTCGGTTCCATAAAATGTACGTTTTTACTGTTAGGAGAAACAATTTGTAATTTTTCAGTAACAGTAAAATATCTATAGAAAGCCAAATATGCAATCTTGTTAACAACGTATTCACCAAACTTGCACGTTCGTCAACTAATATTTCCAAAGTTTACAAAGATCAATTGAACAATTTTGTCACTAAAATTTTGCTACTTAATTATTCCCGATGGATAAGCTTTTTTCTACTAACAGCTACTCCGCACACTCCTTTGCCTATCTGAACATGAATTACTTGACAATTTTCCAACTTACTGAGAGCACCATCTACATCTAAATCCCACATAAAATCCGCATTAAAAACATCAGTGTTGTCGACTAGCCAAATCAATTCCTACAGTTTCAACTTAATAATTTTATAAACGACATACTCAATGAACTTGGTTTCTGTAAGTCCAAACATCGCCGATTTGCCAATTGACCATATAAAGTCATACCAAAAACCTCGGCCAATATCAAAAAACAAATATCTCTTACTTTTTCATAACTGGTTCAGCAGAAACTGGCCTCTTACGACAAAGATTTCAAGAATCAGTTAGCTAAATTTGAAACAATAATTATTGACAAAATCTCAATGGTTTATTCATTGTCTTACATTTATATCATATCAACTTATTTGCATCAATTCATAGCAACGACCATGCATTCGCAGAGACTTCCGCCAGTACGTGGTCAGTTAGTCACTTATTTTATCCAATATTCTCAACGTTATCAAATGTTGGAAGAAATCAGATTAGGCAATACGTATCTCTAATTACACGTTGTCAA